AGGTGATGGCAGTGACGCAAGCGTTTGCCTGGCTTGAAACACAAAAATACACCCGCATATGTATACTCAGTGATTCAATGAGTATGATCCGGAGGGTTCAGGCAGGTTCAGTGCGAAGACAATGGCTTGAATCATTACAGAAGTCCACTGTGCGTGGAGTCACCTTTATTTTTTTTTGTCCGGGACACGCAGGCGTCGATGGAAATGAAAGAGCTGACAGGTTGGCTGGATCCGTTATCACTACCGACGGTCGGCCTATGGATCATGCTGATATTATCAATGCCCTCAGAGAAATGGGAAGGATAGAGGACTTTGGTGGCAGTGAATCCACATCACTCGCCAGAATGGCAGACTTGGGAATTAAGATCGGCACAGCAAAAAACGAGACGCACACCGGACACGTCAGAAGACTTGTTAATCAACATAGAACTGGTACTATTAGCCATCGGACGTTGGGGTTCATACTGAGGGGAGGATCTGAGCACCTATGGACATGTCCGGAGTGCAATGACGATAACCCAACTAACTAACTAACTAACTAACTAACTAACTAACTAACTAACTAACTAACTAACTAACTAACTAACTAACTAACTAACTAACTAATCTTCCGTGACGTTCAGATGTCAATATTTCTTCTCTTCTTTGTCCAAGCTATTCTGAGAATCTTTCTATAGCATTTCAGCTCAAAAGCCCTGTTCTCTTTCTTAAGGACTAAGAGATAGTCCACGACTCACATCCGTATGTAGCCACAGGGAAGTGCAAGCTCTCAAAATTCTAATTTTCATCTCCTTGCTGGTGCTTAACAATAGACTTTTAAGACTGTTCAATCTTTGCATTGCTATGGCCATCCTCCTTTCAATTTCTGTCGAACAGTCTCCATCGTTGTTTATTATAGATCCTAGATATTCAGCGATTATGACATTTTCAATTTCTTATTTATTTATTGTTATTAAGGTAGATACACATCACGGAAATAAGTTACTTCTACGCAACTGGATCTAGATGAATCCGTTCAATTTAAGAAAGATATTATAACATTAGGGCAAGATGCAGCTACTGTCTGACCATCAGCGATTGGATCTATGAGTCAGATTTTTTTTTAAGATCTTACATGCTCAGAGCTCTAAAGAAAAAGCAAAACTTATTAGTTTGTTGTCCGAGTCCAGTCACTTTTACGAACGTGAACCAGGTCTAAAGTAAATTCTAAAGGCCCCCCTAATTCTGTGTACATTGTTTGTAGCCTCATTTGTGTGTGCCTATGTCGTGTGTGTGTGTGTGTGTGTGTGTGTGTGTGTGTGTGTGTTCAGTTTGTCATAATTATTCTGGTACTCTAATAAATATGTTAAGGTCATTTCAAAACATGCTCTAAAAATTGACCATCTCTCAGATTTTCATCGTTAGTTTATAAAACCACATTTCCTGAGCATTTTCAAAAAATATGAATCTAATTGAAGTTACTGATTATGCATACACATTTTCTGACTATAATAAGTACATTCTACAAGGTATTTATGAAATTTTCCTTTATTCTTTTTTGAATTAGGATCCATTCATTTCCAAGATAAATACTGCCACTGTTTGCTGCTTTTTCCTCATATTGAGTATTTTAAGCACTATTAGTCGCTTTTCAAATATGAAGCAATAGTTAAAGTATTATCAGTTTCGCTTTAAAAAAAATATTGATGTCACTATTACATTTTGACTGAAGACATACAAATACAAAACGATGGTGTCGGCCACGCTCTGAGCTTTTCAGCATTCGCAATTGAAAGCTTACTTATCAGGTTGGCGTCCGACAACTATGCCGCCGGTGAACCAGGGCTAGTAGTGTAAACACTAGAGGCCACCACAGTTCTGTGTATCTGTTTATTTCTTTATGGTGCTCAGGAGATACACCCAGCCAAACACTCCCCAGACAGCAACCTTCCAGCCATGTATGTGTTAAGGGAGGACACTCGCGCGACCCTAAGTTTTTCAAGTCTGACAGGCCATTGCCACATAAAAGGACTGTGACTGGCGAGGTCACGTGGTCTCCACATACCATGGGTTTGCTGCCCAGTAACCAACCGGGTTTCCCCAGAGGGCTGAACGATAATGCCTACTCGCAATTTCATTTTAAGCCGATGTTAGTACGCTAATTAATTTCTCCATGGTTTTATGTTTCTGAATAATATTTTTATTCCTTGCTTGAACAAAATTATTTTGTGATTTGTTGCATGTAACAAAGTTGTATGTACATACTAACACACGTAATTAAATACATTTTTCCATAAGCACTTGCTGTATCTTTGGAAAGATTATTGTTTCTTGAAAAAAAAAATACTAAATATTAAATTTCCCACATTATTATCGAACTTGAAAAAAACAAATCATACACGGCTATGTACCTTATTCAATCATGGGCCGTGTAAACTATTAGATTACTACTAAGTGAATTCTTTTTTTTTTTTTTTTTTTTTGACTAATGGAATTATTTGTTGCAGAATATAAAATTCAGAATTGTTTTTATTATATGATAAATTTCTATAATTGTCTCAATCACTTTCTGTGAAATGTCACATTAATTCAAGAAAACTGTAAAAATTACATTTTTTCTTCCGGTCGGGCTATGAGAAAGCTGAGAAACATGAGAAAGGTGTTGTGGCATATTTTTTTAATTCGAATCAATGCTGTATGATTTATTTGTGTTGTTTTCATTTTATTTATCTCCTTTTCACCGAATTAGTGTCAACTAATACATGTCTTTTTGTCTGTCCTGTTCAATTAAAAATGTTTGTGGTCTACTTTCACTCATCTGCGCATGTACATTTCTGAAGTTAATTTCCGGCTCTGGAGAGCTTCTTTCTTTCCATTTCCTGTGATTCTATGAGGTCAGTTTTGTGTTACGCGTTGAAATTTGTATGATTTTTTAAAACACGATTAATTATAATTTTACGGTAATATAATTTATTTATACATATGTGTGATATTTAGGAATATATATTTATACACAGGATGAATGGATGGCTTTTAGAAGCAAGGGTTTAAATGGATTCCATTCCATATATAGTGTCAGTACCCATTATCGAGCATGTTATGATTCGTTGGAAATGAAGACGTACAGCAAAAGTTTCTAAATTTCCTTTCTAAATGACTAAATTTAAATAAACTAGAAATAAGTATGCTGTGACTACTAAATTCTTTAGTAATCGCAGCATACTTATTTCTAGCTGGTTTTTCTTAGGCGTGACATTCTGTTGAAGTCAAAAATGTAAACACCACTAATTAACGTCATCGGTGGCTGCATGGCACATTCGTGACATTCGTGACATTCTACAAACTGTACTGTTTTTATTTGGTTTGAGTGGCAGCAAATTTAAACTGTGCGGACAGAAGACACCTGAACAGTGTTCTGTTTCCTAGTTTGGTAGTTTTATTATAATTTAAGCTAGGCTGCATTATCTTCTCCTTTTGACCCAACACTGGCAACATATCCAGTCTCTTTTCTGAGAATGATTGTGAGGCAATGAGTCTATCTCCCCCCCCCCCCCCCACAAAAGCGACCATGGAACCCCCATATGGACATTAACATTATAAAACTGATTATTGAGAACAATGTAATATTTTTACTTCATTGTCTCCCTCTTGTTTTTATGGCTGCTGAGTGGTCTTTGGGCATGGCATCCGCCTTGATTGCAGGAGGCCCAGATGAAGGCTGGGATTTTTTCACATAGACATAGTAATCTGGTCTCTGGATAGTACTAAGAATAGATACCTATCTGGGCTGTCCTCTAAATAATGGGCACCAAAAACACACCCTAACAGGGCCCCAGTTACTCAGTTACATGTCAATCACGGACTACAACCATCGTTGGGAGTATCCTCTACGCGCGGCCTGAACTGGGGCTTAAACTAGACGGCTGAAACTCACAAGCAGCAGCCATCTTCTAGTTTAGCCCCAATCCATGCAGAACATAGCGGCGTGGGAGATACGCTCGCCGGTGATGGAAGTCTACAATTTACACGTTCTGTTAGGTTCTTTCTTTTGGGGGGGGGGGGGGGGGGGGGGGGGGGGGGGTCCTCGATAATTTAGGACTGTTATTCGGAAGATAGCCAAAAGATCCTTTGGCAGCTAGAAATCGCAGCCTAATGGCACTGCCCTGGCAAAATTTTGAGTTTTTAATATCTACTGTTTTTAGGATCCTCGCCAGTGCTATACAGAGTTTGTACACTGTGCTAAGATTCTTTAAACTCAGTCTTGAGTTAGAAGTTGAGCGGATCACCCTTAAAATGTGTATTTGTTGTGGAGGTCTAGCCAGCATTTATAAATGTCAGCTGTCTTCCGAATAACGGTCCCAAATTATCGAGGCCGAGAATATCGGCAATGGCGGTAGTTGCCGGAAGTCCGTGATTTACATGTGGCTAAGGCCCTGTCTAGGGTATATTTTCGGCCTCAATAATTTAGGACTGTTATTCTGAATGTCTCCTAGTTGGTTAGGTCATAGTTTGATCGGCTGCACCAAGCACAGTTCTTGACTGATTTTTATCCGTCATTTATCTCTAGCAGGTGTAACTAATATCTCTCCTCTCTGTTGTCAAGGCCTTAGTCAAATTAAATAGTTGGCTGCCGCCACCAGCGAGAGTATTACGCGAGGAGCAGGGCGTAACTAGATGGCTGGGACTCACGAGCTAAGCTGCAGGAGATGCGGAAGCTGCTGCTCGTGAGTCCCAGTCATCTAGTTGAGCCCCTCGGTGGTAGTCGTCCGAAGTCTGCAATCTACATTTGACTGAGGCTCTGTCATGGTGTGTTTTTGGCCATCATAATAGGTCGCTGTTATTCGGTGGATATCTGAGATCTGTTTTTAGTGTTGGATGGAATATTTTGGTGAAGGAAGGTTAAAATGGGCAGACAGCTTGATTTGCATGCTTTCATGTTAAATGTTTTTTGTTTGGTGGTGCACTTGCTTTCCATGGAATACTAATACTTCTCTCTGAATTCTTTCTTCTAAGGTTTCACAATGCCTGAGACTGAAGCAAAGCCCAACCCAGCAAAGAAGTCTGGCAGGTGAGCATCAGTTATTTTTTAACAAGTAACAAATTAATCTAAGAAATAGCAACAACAAAAAAAAAAGCTTGAACAATAACCAACTTTTCTTATGACAACAATGGATTGAAGATTGTTCACTTAGTTTTAGCATGATAAACATACACATCACTGCATTTTACAGTCTTTAACAGTGGGCAACTTGTTGCTGCTTTTTAACAGACTATTCTCTAAAATGTTTGGACATTGTTCCAAATGTGGGCTTAGGGACTCCATCTTGAAGGTGAGAGGATCGACTCCATTGCACTGGGTTTTATTTATTATGGCCTAGTCTCTCTGCAGAACAGCTAGTTGTTTGCCAAGAGCATGTCACAGAGCATGACCTTTGTAGCTCCAACAGGTATCTCCGTAAATATGGCACTCGTGGAACAAATCATTAGAGGATATAGGCGCTTACATCCTGCAGTACAGAATACACGATACCGCTAGCCGGTGACTAACATAGCACAAGACTTGCGACACAGCAATTTATTAATTAAAAGTGAAATAACTCTTTCTGGGCCTGAAAACTGGAGATATATGGCGTCTTTTTAGTTATGAACCATAAGTTCCATTTTGTTAAAACTATGAAATATCCTCAACCAACCAGGTCAAGTCAGCTTTCTGAAGTTCAATAATTTTTGGTTTGCTTTTGTTTCTTTGACGTGTAGATTCCAGTAGCGCACTAATTAATCAAGTTGAACAGTTTTCTCTGAAGTTCAGTATTAACAACAGCTGAATTGTTGCAGGTTGTACTGCAAGGCTGTCTTCACTGGTTACAAGAGAGGACACCGCAACCAGCATGAAAACACCGCTCTTCTCAAGATTGAGGGTGTCATCACCAAAAAGGAGACTGAGTTTTACCTAGGCAAGAGATGTGCTTATGTATACAAGGCAAAGAGGTAAGCATTTGCTTTTGTGATTTCATGTTATAGCTGTCCTAAAAGAAAGTACTTACCAATGTAGCACCCCGTAATTGTATATGTACCAAGTGCACACAAAATGACTTCCACTGTCCCATTTGAAATCTAGTGAACAGAAATTTAAACCTGGCAAAATGAAGAAACATGCAGTAAAAACATGACATTCGCCAGTGGTGCCACTAACAACTACCACCATATTGTTTGATAGTAGTAGTCAGTCAAAGTAAGCTGACTACACAGTTTTAATGCATAAAACACCTGGGTAGATCAAGTACAAATTAGTCACCAGCCCTATGGAAATTTTAGAATGTCTTGTAGGCAACAAAACCATGGACTTTAGGTATTAAAGCTGCATGAACAGACTGGCTAGGGGTGATAACAAAAATAACAGGTCTGAATTTTAAAGGACTACCTGCCTTTGCGTCATATTTTACTTAATGTAAACAAAAAATAGAGGAAACTACTTTTAGATGCTTCTGTACTTTACACTGCTATCCTCCGAATAACGGTCCCAAATTATCAAGGCTAAGAATATACCCTAACAGGACCTTAGTCTTATTTAATTAGCGGACCTCTTTACTTCAACTACAGCATGCCACGGAAAAGTTTCCACCAAAAGTCGCCAAGTTGACCGACTTTTTGTATAGAGAGGGACTAGATGGCTGGGGCTTGCGAGCCGCAGCTTCCTCTATTTCATTAATCATGCGTCCCAGCCATCTAGTTTAGTGTAGCGGCATGGGTGATACTCTCGGCGATATGGTCGGCAAAAATATCACCGAGGCCCTATGGGTATTTTCTTGGTCTTGATAATTTAAGACCGTTAATTAGGAGGCTAGCCTTTTACACCTTACAGACTATTGGCACTTTCTATCAATGCAAATTGCTTGGCCCATCTGCCTATTTTCTGCTTTACATGTCAACGGAGTAGTGTAGAATGTGCACACATTATTATTTTTTCTTTTCTGCAAATTAGCAAAACAAGGATCTTGCAAAAGGCCACTCGGTGGGCATTAAAATGCAGTTTAGTAATTTACACGAGAGTTTAAAGTCATCTGCTTTAGGTTCGGTTTGACAATGGTATGGGCTTTGTCCATCTGAAGCAATATCAAACTAAAGGCAAAATTGGCTTGTTAAAATCCTTAGCAGCCATCTAAATGTTCTGGTTGATAAAAGTTACAGATAACTTCTCCAAAGCATAATGTAAAGCTCATTTGTGACTGTTGATCTTTTGTCTCTAGACTGACTGCATGCCCAGGACACGACAAGCCTAGCCGCCTGCGTGTAATTTGGGGTAAAGTGACCCGCCCCCATGGTAACAGTGGTGCAGTGAGAGCAAAGTTCAGGAAGAATCTGCCCAGCAAAGCCATTGGCAAACGCATTAGAGTGGTGTGTACTTTTGTTAGATCCTGAAATCTTGTTCACTGTTTCCTGGTATTGCACAATAATTAGAAGGGTTCGCCTGGTTTCAGCATTTGCCAAACACCTATAACGTCGACCACTTTAAGGCAGCTTTTGCGGTGGCATGTATCAAGGGTTTGGCATGTAAGGTTATTCTAGTTTGTATCTTTACTTAACTCTTTTAGTGCTGAAGAACTTACCCCACGTTTCTTAGTCATTCCGAAGATTTGATGTTTCTGATCACTGACATGTTTTTTATTGCTTTAGTTAGTTCTCAACTCTGAGATATAGTAACTAATTCGGACTAAAAGGGTTAAAGAGCTGTTGGTTTCATTCATGGTTGGTTGGTTTTACTTGAAACAAGGTTTCATCGTATTAAAACTTCGAGATGCTACGCCACAGTGCTCTGGTATAGCAGAGACTGCGAACTTAAAGAGCATCACATTGCAATCTGCAGTATTTAACAGCTTGTGGGGGGGGTGTGTGTGTGTCATTTCCCAAAGAATCTGAAGCCAAGACCTTCTGATCTACAGGTGAGCATCTGGACGATGCACCATGGTGACTTAGTTTGATGTATAACTCAGGCTTATATCGTGGTTTATACGCTTTACGTTTTTTTGCAGTTATAAAAATGGGATTTTATAGGTGCTTATGAATGTACCCACAAGAAGTTCTAGTTGTTCATTCATTGTAGGACTTTGGTCTTGTTTCAAAACGAGTTTTGTATGCCTATCTGTTTTACAGATGTCTTATGTGTATGTAGACTGTTGGTCTACTTCTGGTCATACAGTTCCCCTGTGTATTCTGTCCATATAATGGAATATGTGTTTGTCTCAATAATGTGTCGCCATCCTCTGATTTTAAACATTCATTGCTGTTGGATGTCTTCTTCCCTGTTGTTGTGTTTTGTTGTTGGTACATGGAATGTGAATCTTTCCGGCAAGGTTTCTTTAGCCCTTTTGCATTAGTTCACTATTTTTGTAAATACTTCTTATCCCACCCCAATCTTCATAGTTCTTATCAGTGATCTCTAGCATCTGTTTAATAATAAAAAAAAAAAATACACTTTGTGAACAGTTTGTGAGACTGATCCTCATTTTTATTCTGTAAATGTCGCTGCTAGCCAGGGGATTCTGTTCCATACAAATTCAGGGCGCCGAACCATTTCCTTTAGAATCTGGAAGTCATATGGGCTATTTTTAGGAAGGCCCCTAGAATCGGCAGTATTCATGTTTTGCAATACACTCTCGGCAGACCGCTAGCTGAAGAGAGAGGCTGTCATGTGTGATAAAACCTGAAGCATTGAAATTGGTCAACTTTAGCCTTAAACTTTTTCTAGACAAATTCTCCATGTAGGTGCTGGGGCTTATTGATGATGTATAGACCCCTTCCTAACAAACTGGACGACCTGACTAATTAGAAGTTTGCTAAAATTTATGTTAAGCAGATATTAGTCTAATTGTAAATTATAAAACAGCATGTCAGTCATTTTAAGGATGAGCGTAAAAGAAATATAGGCAAGCCATGTGAATATCGTAGGCATAGAATAAGTCCGTTGTTTTTCACTTTCACATACACAAGCTTCATCTCTTTTTTTTTCACTAATTTTCATTTTGAAGTTAAACTGACCATGATGAGATTCTGTTTAGCAACTGTGAGCAAGATATACTGGCATACCTGTTACTTTTTTTCACACTAATTGTCTGAGAGAGAAAAATCTCCTATATTATCCTGCATATAGGCTAGAATTTTATGGGATATGGGGTTAAATGGTTTAATAATAATGAAACATCATCTGACATCACAAATGGGATCAGAATATTATTGACCTACCTATATATTACACCAGCTACACTATAAGAAGTATTAAAATAGATTTATTACTTATTTCTTCTCTTATTTTGTTTCAGATGCTGTACCCATCCAGAGTATAAATAGAATAATAAACATTTTGCCAGCTAAAATTTGTTTTTATTGGTAATGTCATTTGTGAGGTTGTGTGTGTTCCAGCATGTCATCCTGTCAGTGATACGATTATGGTCTTGTAATGTAATGCTCATCATATCGTGTCAGCTGATGAACGCATCCAGAATGAAGCTGTGCGGGTAATTCTGGGATGCATGAGATACCCCAGTTGGTGTGCGATATATACTTGTACTGCAGATAGGCTCAAAGTCACATCGCAAAGTGGCTGCAGCAAAGAAGCTTTCCTGCATGAAGCCCTGAAAAACACAGAAGAGGTCTTAGATGGCGCAAGCTGAAGACACAATTAGACATGTGTGCAGGCTTGATACATTTGGCAATGAGAAGAGTGGGTCAGTGTCCGAGCAAGTTTAAGACTTGTGTAGTGTATTCTTATCACCTGGTTGTGAGTGCAGGGACTGGCCAGCTGGTGCTGCAGAATCTGAAGTGCAACAAATTAATGAAAGTTCTCATCCAGGTGATATGATTATCTATACAGATATCACATCTAGATTGAGTGTCAGCTGTACACACATTGTAACAGACTCACAGATCATGTTGAGACAGGCATGCTCTGTGTAGAGTGGCAAGCATCATTTAAGAAGTCCCAGGTGTCCTTTAGGTATTTTCTTCAGGTAATGCCAGTATGTTGGGAGATGAGCAGAGGTACTCTTAGATTACCAGTCTGGGGGGAAGGGCGAGGTCAGAGATCACAATCAGTTACCTGTACCATTGGAACTTATCGCTGCTGGAGAAAGGGATGGGGGTGCTTAAGGGGTTCCAGAGTGTTATGCCGTCAGTTCTTGATTTATCAGTCAGGATGGGTGTAATTTTTTTTTTAATGCGTTAAATTGCCAGGAAATAGGTGGCCCAACTGAGTATTTGTTGCTAAAGGAACTTTATTAAAAAGATGTGTACAGTACCAAAAAGATTGGATGTGATAAAATATGACATGGTTACTGTTAACTCACTTGAACATGCCAGTATCTGCTCCCTATCTTCAGCAGTTGTGCAGTTCTAGTTTTGATGTTACCCTAAGCAGTCTGATTATATGACGGTCTTGTCTTTCCTTTGAGGGGTTAATCACTCCCCTGTGCACCATTCTCCTCACTAATGAGCTACTTTTGCCATTTTACTCACCCCCTAATGGTTTTTTGGTAACAGCTCGCTTTATGTATTACAGCAAAAGTGGCCAGTCTGTATTCTGTTTATTTCCTAGCACAAATGTGCTTGTCAAGATCTCTGAGGTGTTGCTTGCCACTCTTCTGTGGTGTCGCCCTGTTCTTTGCTGATTCTGGCAGTGCACCTATGTCCTTACCATCTTTTCACTTCTGTATCTTCTGTTTTAGCACTGCCTTTATCTTGATGTCCCTGTGAGCTCAGTGACTATCGAACAAAACGAATATATCAGCACAGATAATACAAAACATGCGACGTGGGGGCCTCGCTGTAAAATCAAGTCGGATATTACCAACTAGGCACCCCAAAAGAAATGTCTTCATTGGTCATGTCTAACGTACAGCCTGAAATTATATCAACAAAAAGCCACCGGCTGGGGATTTAAAAAAAAGGAAATTCGATCTCCCATTCACCGACGACCAATGCATATTCCACAATCACGTTATTCAGCTACAGGACCATAATAAACCGACTTCCCAACAACTGCTTCAGACAAAATAGAATACTCAATAGACATAGGCTTGCAGATAAAAGACCAAAGTTTAATACAAGTTCAACTCTTGAAATGCTTGGATAGCATCTTTACTTAGGACAGATTGACACAAGAAGCCAACAATATCACCTTTGAGCTGACCCTAATTTTGAAATAGCCGGCAATCCCAATAGAGATAAAAAGACAAAATTATAAATGCGATCTTATTACCGACCTTGTGCTGTCAGATTCGAAAATTGACTAAAGAACACGAAAAACAACTAACCAGCTGCGAAGTGAGATGTTTAAGAAAGACCGTAGGAGATAATGTGAGAAACGAAGAAATTACAAAAATTATTGAAGCAATGCCTTTGATTAAATTTATTGGGAAACACATGGTATGGTCATTTAATGAGTATGAACCCAATCACGTCATCAAAGCGAACATGTCAGTAGAAACACAGAAGTGGTAAGGACCGGGCAAGCAGAATATGGATTAAAGGAGTCACTGATATCCTGTCACTCCACTGAAGATCCGAAGGGGTCGGTGCGAAGACAATGGCTTGAATCACAGAAGTCCGCTGTGCGTGGGGTCACCTTTTTTGTTTTGTTCCTGGAAACGCAGGCGTCGATGGAAATGAAAGAGCTGACAGGCTGGCTGAATCTGCTATCACTACCGACGGTCAGCCTATGGATCATCCTGATATTATTAATGCCCTCAAAGAAATGGGAAGGATAAAGGACTTTGGTGGGCAGTGAATCCACATCACTCGCCAGAACGTCAGACTTGGAAATTAAGATCGGTATAGCAAAAAAACGAGACGCACACCAGATGACTTGTTAATCAACATAGATCTGGTACTATAAGCCATCGGATGTTGGGGTTCATACTGAGGGGAGGATCTGAGCACCTATGGACATGTCCGGAGTGCAATGATGATAACCCAACTACTAAGAAGATCGACAAAAGAAGACCAGATTTGTGAAATTCCCAGTGGGTTGTAAAACCGTGCAGATGATGTCCTGTTGAACGCTTTGCCCACAAAAACGCGAGTTCTCCGTCACATCCGTAGGCTCTCTAACTTATTCCTGGGTTCACATCAATAGTCTCTTGGAGTTGTCCTTCATGCAGAAGAAGACACGATATATTAGTGAGTGATCTACGCTTGTTTTGATGTTCATTATTCAGAAATTATAGAAACATTACAAATTAAAGTCGTCTTGATCTTCATTGCACAGGTGTTTTAACGTTCATGACTGTTCTCTCTCTCTCTCTCTCTAAGATATATATATATATATATATATATATATATGGGTGTGTGTGTGTATATATATATATATATATATATATATATATATATATATATATACAGAACAGGTAACCGCTTTCCGGAAGCTGTACACAAAGCAAGAACTCAGTAGCTAGAGCAACGATCCCAGAGCTCTCTATTACAACGGCCCTTGTGAACTGAACTACGTTTCCGTGAAACGAGCATACGTCTTTCATAGCAAAATAATCGTCTTGGCCATTGAGACAACCGACCCCCCCCCCCCCTTTTTTTTTCCTTGGGGGGGGGGGGGGAGGTCATACATTAACATTTAAAAGTACCGAGGTTTTTCTTACAAGTCCATGAAGTTGGTAGTCATGTTTATCCACAACCTCCTGTCTCGTGTACTTTCAATCAACTCTGACACATGATCCTCCATGCAGTGATGTAAAACTATCCAGTATCTTTTCTCTCGCTCTCCTTCTGCTTCTCCTCCCCTCCAGTTTTCCTTCTGTCACATATACTCCAGTTTTCTCCTTCTCGTCACATGACCAAAGACGATTTTAGATTGTCTCTTTCTGATGTGGGCAATCGGTTCCCTTCGTGTCAGTTTCTTTCTAGACATCGTCATTACTTTTTATCTGACCATTAGATTCTCATAACCTGTCTATAAAACCACATCTCCGCAGCTTCCAAATAACTTTTCACTTATCTACCAACTGTCCATGATTCACTTCCCTACATCGAGATAAAAATGTATATAGCATTATTAAGAATTCTCTTTCTCGTTTTAATTGTCATAGAAAGATTGCGTAAAATATTTTTGTGAAATGCTGCCTTTGCTTGAGCTATTCGACATTTAACTTCTTTAATACATCTTCCACCTGTTGTTATCAGGATACCCAATTAAAACTTTCTTGAGGTTTCTCCCATTTACTTTGATTTTTGCAGTTACCATTACTTCTGTATTTTGTGCTTAGTTTGTTGATGTTGTTCAAACTAAGACCTTTGTTCTCCCTTTCCGTAACAATTACATCCATAATTTCTTGCAGTTGTGTTTCATTTTCAGCGTGTCCACCTGGCACACCATGTATAGATCTAATTATTTTTTCACTGTACAAACTGAATAAATCGGGTGATAGTACACATCCTTGTCTAACACCTTGTTTAATGTTTTGAAAAGTTCCGACTTGGTTGTCAATCCTTATGGCTGCTTCTTTTTGCCCGCAGATGTTATTATCATTATTATTATATCTTTACCATCACGTTTAAGGTTTCCAAAATGCTAATAATTTCTTCATGTTTCACTTTGTCAAATGCTTTAGTGTCACCGATCTCTTTTCATTTCAATGATTCTTTCTGAAAATGTTCTTTAGATAATAAGGCGTTATTTGCCACAAAACAACACTGCTCTCCAATTTCTGATTTAATTTTGTACTTTACTCTTCTTATGACAGTTCTTAAAATTTTAGTCAAATGACTCTAAACTAGTTGTTAGATGTTCTCCACATTCCACCGCAGCAGGTGTTTTTGGTAAAGGTTCGAGAAGAGATTTCAAAAGGTCATCATGTACATGCCCACTGTTATAAATATTATTGAACAATTTTGTCAAAACTTCTGAACCCAGTTCACCAAAAGCTTTTAATTCTTCAATCAGGATGTTATCTGGCCCTGGAAATTTACATTTCTTCATGTGGATTATAGCATCTTCCACTTCCGCTTTCAATATTGGCAAGTCTTCCTAATACTCATGATGTATGGTCTGCTGCTTTCATCGTATAACTCGTTCCCCACTGTCACTTGGTCTGCGACGTGGTCTACGACCATTCAATTCCCTTTTGTATACAGTTTTTACTTCTCTGTCATCTGACATTCTTTCAGTATACCAAATCCTTTTCAGTCTATTAGCCCTCAGGATACATGTGATCAGTGTTGTTTTAAACAGATTAGGAATTTCGCTGTTGCTTCTCTCTTTATTACCTGCTGTTTGCATCTTTGCTGGGTACAAAGATTCGTTTTACGACCATTGACAACAGTTTTAAATTAATGTTATCAAAAAAGAGTTACGGGTGAAGTCTGACGAGACTGTCTTTATAGACATATCGACACTCGATAAATTATATTTATTACATAAAGCCATCTTTTAACGCTCCTTAGCGTTTCTTGGTACCAGTAGTTTTAGTTAATCCAGGTCAGGTTTTGTTTGGAAACCTACATTTAACGAACACCAAACCTTGAGCGTCTAGCCGTCTGACAAATATCTTACCCAGGCGTCCTGGACATACACAGGCGTAGGCACAAAAGCGCACACATCTGTCTTAAAAAAAATTAACTGCACATCCTTTACAGGGCGTTGCCGAACCAACCTCCGGTGTGTGTTGTGTTTAACTCACGGCCATCTTTAGCTATAAATCTAGAGTTGGCGGTGGTTTAACTAAATACATTTTACATATCATAAGCTGCGACAGCTCTCTTTACCCCTTTAACTATAATACGTAACGGCTGAAAGGGGTTTTTGGGACCTCTCCTCAGGTGATCCTCATCCACATGGTGGTACTTTGTGTCACCGGGTGTTTATCGCTTGTGTGATGTCCTGGTGAGGTACAACACGGCCTACTCTATTTATAGGCCAAACAGGTCAACGGGGATTCCCGTTATTTTGCAAGAATGGAGTCCCTCTGTGTCCACAGTTTTTATCGAGGAGATGTATACACAAATTAAACTAGTTTCATTAATTTTCGACATATTTTATAGAACAATACATTATTTTTAAGGTAAATAAGTTTGCTATTTTAATTTAACAATAAATGCTCTTACAGACAAACAAAAATGCTTACGCTACAGTCAACATTAATATAGACATCAATGCGTTTGGATAAAAACTGATAGTTATTCCAGCAAAAGTAAAGAAATATCAGTGCTAACCTTTTGATTCTGAGAGGGTATTGTTGCATGCTGTTTAAAAATATATCACACATATTTCTGAATACTGCATGCAACAACGCATATAAGTATCATCAACGGTATATTATTTTAATTGAAACAAATTAAAAAAGACCATAGAACTGCACATTCTATGCAACATACACATATCACACACAAAAATTCCCCAAATAGATACCGGATCTCGTTGTTCAAAATAGTGTCTGGAACAAGACTTAAGTCTAGAATTAGAGTTTCTGCCAGTGTTCACGAAGCAGAAGACAATTCCCAAAAATGAACACAGACTGTACAACTGCAAATGTGCATAAGAAGTAGATTAACAACCAGATGTTTCTGCCAGAGCTTACAGCCAGTGTTCACAATATCCGCTTGTCGATTTGTAATACGAATACATTCAGAACACAGAACTTTGTAAGCACGTTAAAATGTCACACAATGCAACATGGAAACGCTTCCAGTAACCAATTTTCGAGGGGACTCCGCCAAAATGTACCACGATTTAGTCAGAAAGACCTATATGCAGAAGGACCTGGTTACAACTACCTACCTCTTTTGTTTTTGCAACCATGGTAAAGCTGTAGCTTGCCTTCCAGCCCAAATGTCTCAGTTTTGAATCTCATACCTAAGATTTTATGTAACTGATTTTTGGAACCCCGGTCTATCAAGTCTAAAATGGGAAATTATCTGGGCAATAAAGGCGACTGTCATCATTTTCGGCCACATCGTCTATCGAGTTATAGTCGGTCTATAAAATTGTGATAGCATCATTGAAGTAAAAAGGGACTTTTGAGAACATTTATGTTTTGAATTTACTTCGTAGAAGCTCGACAGCTGTCGGTTCTATATCCTGTGGTTCTGTTCACGAGTGGAGTTTTCATGCAAATACACGGGGGATCGTTGCTGAAGACACAGGTTCGTTATTGTGCCACGTTCTCTTGAAAGATAGCCAAAATAGGTCATAAAGGATACCGCTGGGTGAAATGAAGTCAATCTCTCGAATTAATATCTGTAAACTTTCTACATATGGTAAATATGCCATTGTGTACTTTCAGCTTACACTCTCCTGGCCGTGCCCGCCATTTTGACGTTTGCAGTCATGACAGTGCATATGTTTCCGTTGTCTTTCTCTTTTGAAACGTGGCTGAAAGCATCCGAGAAAACATCCTCCTCACTGGATTGGTGGACGTCGAGACAGACTGCGTTTTCTTACCCCAGCGACCTGCTGCAAAAGTGGACCCAGACCTCTGACACGCTAGTTACAGACCAGAGTAAGCTTTTGTGTGGGTTAATATTCGCCGTCTTCATAATTATCCGGTGTAAATTTAGGATAGGCGTGTTCACTGTTATTAGTCGTGGGAGATGTGGGCTTCTGACACACGGTGACCGTTGCTTTTACCCTCTGTTAGTAGACTGAAAGGATAAAGTTTAGATGCCCAGCTATTAAGTTGACTGCATGACGCGACACTGTGAGCTGCAGATTTAATTTGTAATTTGTGACCAACGTGGCGTTGTGAACTGTATAGATTAAAAAAAAAAAAATAGCGAGTAGCCTGTTGCCACAAAATTGGTTTTGCCTTATGTAGTAACAATTTATCGAATATGCAACTACTGATCTGTTTGTAATGTCGAACTGTTTGTGTTAGCATTAATTATGGCTGCCTTATGTTTTAATGCCTGTGTATACTAGTGGATATGATGAAACTGCAGTCTGTGTCAGATTTACCACTGTGTTTTTCGTTGGTCCATAAGCAGAGCAACTTTGGGGTGACCTGTGTGCCATGAAGCTGAAACTAAGATAGCGTGAATCCTTAACGTCTCGGACAACTAGACATGTACTTCTTCTTCTTCTTCTTCTTCTTCTTCTTCTTCTTCTTCTTCTTCTTCTTCTCCGTGTTCACTGGCTGTAAACTCTGGCGGATGGTTCTGGCAGTTCGTCCACTTGCGAACTTTAATATTGTTTCAGAAACTGAGTTCTGTATGCACATAAGTTTTACAGATATGGCTTATTTGCATGCAGACTGTTGGCTCGGGAAAAAATGTACCATAACTTCGAAGGAAATACCCTAATCAGTCGACTTTACCGATATGTTTTTTTTTAGAAACAGCGGATGCCTTGTTTAACCCACAATGGAGCTCTGGAACCTACGCATGAAGACATGCACTGGGCTGCTCGAAAAGCTGCAGTCGTGTTTAAGATTGCAATAATAATAATTATAATTATAATTACAGATATTGTGTGCGGGATAGCAGGCACACACACACATAAGCACACACAAAAACGTCTTTACACTGGGATTGTTTTGATGCGGGGGGGGGGGGGCATATCCCTTGCCAGTTTCTGTAGGGGGCACGGATAGAGGTTCGCTCTTAAAGTGGTTATTATTATTATTCTACATCTGTAATAGTCCTTTTATACTTGTTCTGCAGGGGAACTAGATGTACTGCGAATAGATGGAGCCACTCAAAACCTGAGCCAGTTCAATGTACACAATATGACTTACCAGCAATTGTTGCTGACCTGTCACTCGTACCTGGACACTGCCACTGTGAGTGTTTCGGTGCTTAAAAGTCTTATATTTTAGAGCTGTAATTTTATGTTCTTTTTGGTAGCTTCATTTCGCCCCTGCTCGTTGAAATTGTCTATTTTAACTAGTGGCGACACGTGATCAATGGCATTAGTGGTTACATTGAAGACGTGGGTATCACGTGATGTGTTCCTCCTCGTCGATTTGCCGTTTAGAATATACGTGAGCAGCCAGCATTAGTATCAGGTAGCTTTCAAACCTTTCGGTTTCTCAATCAGTGCTCAAGGCATAAACAGAATAGCATATTTGTAATAAATAGTGAACAGTAAAAATAAAAAGTAAAAAAGAAATGGAAAGTGTAAGTAATGATTACTAATATTAACCTTTGTAGTGATTTCATGCAATAAATCGCTCTCCTTTAATGTCAGAAAGAGGGTGCTAAAATGTTACATAGAACCTGTTCTGCTGTATGGCAGCGAATTTTGGAATGTCGGTGAACAAATTAGGAAGAATTTGGAAGCAACAGAGATGTGGTTTTTGAGACGAACGATACAAAAACCTTGGACGGCCAGAGTAACTAACAATGATTGCGTGAAAGAGGCTAATGAAAGTAGACCTCTCTATACAACAATAAGAAAGGGACAAACACTGTTCTTTGGCCACATAATGAGATAAGAGAAATTGGAGAACATTCCCTTCAGCTGGAAAGATCAGTGGAAAAGGAGGCAGACCAAGAGATGATGATGGAGGGATATCATAAACAGAGCTGTTCCAGGCAACCAGGGATCGTGATCTGTGGAGACGCATGAGCGCCTACGCCAGTTGGCAGGGCACATGATGATTTTGGTGATTTCATACATTGTTTTCATTGTCGTGGTAGTGACACGTGTTTCTGTATCAGCAACAGCTGCACTAGCTGTAGCAGGTGGTGTTGTTGATTCTGTTGTAATAATTGTAGTTATAATAGTACAAGTGATAGCCGTAGTTGTTGTTGTAACACTGATGTATGTATGATACGACAGACGTGGTTAGTGCCTTGTGGGAGAGCGTGTACAGTTTGGAGGAGCAGATGGATAACCACAGTCTGGTGAGATTGATGCAGGGGGAAGTGACGAGAGATTCTGGCAGATACTCGAGGCTCAGAGGAAAGGCAAACGGACGTTTAATCCGAATGCTACTGGCACCATTAGTTTTGGAACACTTCGCTGGCTGCTGAAGATGGGGACGGAGCGCTAATAGGAATTCCCCGAGTGCTGTGATGTCTGTTCTTGAATCAACTTAAGTGCTGTTGTAACACTAGTAACAGTCGTAGCAGCAGTATAGAGGGAGTAACCAGCGTCAGCTGAAGATGAGGGTTTGGAACAAAATGTATCTGTTTTATTTTTCTTATTGCATTCTCTCCTGTTTTTCACATTTGTCATGGGCGAATGCCAGTCAACTTTGACTCATTTGTGATGATTTCCCCAAGGTTATCTGTAAACGGAAACTTCGGATGGGTCATCTTGGAGATGGAGGGTGGGAAATCTGTGACGATCCAGAGGTTCGACCCGTTCCGCCATGTTTAATTTATTCTTTCGGGATTGGGAGAGATTTTTCGTTTGATGACGAAGCCGCCAGGTGGTACAAGTGTCACGTGTACAGCTTTGATCCCACAATTGAGTGGAATAGCTATAATAGGTAGGTTGCTGTAGGTAAGTGACGGCTTTAAAAAAAAACCTTAACTTGTGCTTTGAAAACATACAAATACACCATACCGTAACATAGGCGCCTGATTCCAAGGGCTGTCTTTTGAGAGCACCCCTCCCCCGTAATAACAAATGTTTAAACCCTTCCTAACTTCTATTTTTTTTATGGGGGGGGGGGGGGGGGGGGTGCTCAAGTGTCCTAAACCCACAGGCTCCGGTGCCTATTGCTGAGCCAGCGGTGATAAATACAGTTGGCATTAGCAGTTGATCAAGCGTTGAAGTATACATGTTCCCATTTCCAGGTAACAAAGAAGAAGAGAAGGAAGAGGGAGAAGAATCGTGCATAGACCCACGGGTGCCTCTTGGTTATCCAAATTATGACCTTAGCAGAATAAGCTGGATGGTTCCCATGATTAAGTCGTGTTCTATTATAAGCAATAAACGTACAGAACCTTGTTTGGTACAGAATATGCTAACCTCCTGTTTATTACCAACAGGTCCCACTTTGTTCACTTCTACAATGTGGGGATCGCTAATAAAACCTACACGAACAATAAGGGCTGGAAATACTCAACCTTCTCGGACATACGAGCAATGCTCGGCCATAAGCAGTCATGCATCAACATCGTTAAAATTGACGTGGAGGGCCACGAATGGGACTCGCTGCTTCAAATGACTTTGTCCGGCCAATTGAACACTGTCAACCAGTTATTAATTGAGTATCATTTCAACTCCCTGACCCATCGTTATCTGCTGAAGTTCTTTATAGTTCTACAAGGTGTGGAGTTAGCAGGCTTTGAGGTTTTCTACACTCATAAGAATGAGGGATGTGGTTATCGTGTGCAAGGGTTTCCTCCGATTAAAAGTAGATGCTTCGAAGTTCATTATCGTAGGCGATATAAAGTGTGTCAAAGTGCTATTTAGAACCTGCGTTGTTATTTTGCGTGTATGCATATATGCAGGCGTATATCAGACATGTAGAAACAAAAATCATTTTATTTTTAAAGCCCAAATAAAGAAAAATTATTTCACATACCTCATATTCAGTCAGTGAAATAATATGATAGAGAGAAACACAAGTAAAGTAAAGGACATTTTCCCACTCCTTTAGACGTATTTTGGCATATAGGGCTAGACTTATATTTTGTAGATCAATCGGTACTAGGTACTAGTACACACCTGGGTCGACCTGAGAGCTAAGGTCATTTTTGAAAAAATCAAGCTCTGTTTGACCTGCCGATCCGCATATAAGCGTCTAGCCGCTACACCGCGGCGGCTACCACACAAGTGGGCAGACGTCACAAACTTCCTTAAAGCCAGCATCATGCAGAGAAATTGAGCTTGCCTTCATCATGTTTCTTCAGACAGTACATAGCGTTTAAAGTGAATGCATTCTTGAGTCGTAACGGTTCCAAGTTTTACTGTAGTATCATAAATCTTAGCAGTTTTCAGCTGGTGATATTTTTTTAGGGGAAATGAAAATCCTAAAAGGAGTTCTTTGTAGACATCAAGTTTCTTTGGAGACATCAACTTTATTTGTAGACATCAACTTTCTTTGTAGACATCAACTTTCGTTTCCCCGTGTTGATACCATGGCCCAATAAAATAAAAATAAAAATAAAATAGACCAGCGGTCTCCCTAACAAGCATGTCGTAAATTAGGGATGTTTCTTTCCAGTTCGGAGTGCATTTACCAAACAGACGAGGAACAGATAGTCTGCTTACAAATAAACCAGAACTGTAAAAAGGATGTGCACGCAAGATTCAAGTTTTGGAACAAGATAAAGTCCAGAAGTGGATGAACAACCAGAATTTCCCCCGTAGTTTACAGCAGGTGACTGCTAAGAAGAGTGAGCACCAATATTCTTCTGACTCATGTGACCCTTGGGAGTCGGAATGCTTCTGCCTCAGAGGCAAGCAACCAACGGGCATATACATAAGTCTGATCTGTAACACGAATCTGCAGGCAACACTCAGGTTCTGGGCTAAGACTAAAGTCCAGAGGTGGATGAACCACTAAAACCTTCTGCTGGAGATTACAGCCGGTGAATATAAAGACAAAGAAGAACTTTTTCTGTAAATTGATAGTTTATATGGTCTTAAAATATATTTTAATTATTCTATAGAAGCAATCTGATCCTATCTCTTACTCGAGGCTTCTGGTTCCAAATCTAGCTGAACCGATCTATACAATTATCTGTTTCGTGAGCCAGTTAGATTCAGAGAGGGAGCTTAACACAGGATACAGAAAAAAAAAATGTTTCTGCAAAACGGTCTGCTGCCAAGCTGCCTGCAGTTGAATCTGAGTTTCTGAATTAGGAAACTGAACCAGTAACCCACCAGTCTAAGACGTTGAAGCATGTATAGTAAATGTACTAGAAGCACAGCCAAAAGGGGAAAATTGTATTAAACGAAGGGGAGTAGATAACTATGAAGGGTGTATGAAAATCTACTCCTTGAACCTATCTCTACTTCAAACCTACAAGAGCTCCAATATTGTGGTGAGTGGAAGCAATCCCACACTTAAGCTGCCTCCGTAACAAACAAAAAAACAAAAAAAAAAAAGAGTTCGTTAGGTGGGAGCTAAGGCCATTTTATCTTACCCTGACAGGACATGTTCTGTATACGGTCTAGATAGCAGTAACAGTAAAACTAGGCACACTAACCACAAGTCATAATCTGAATCAAAACAACTGGAACTAAAATTATTACACTGAACATCTGTATATTTTACCAGACACAAAACAAACACTTTTTCACAGATAATACTACATTAACAATTAACCTCATGTCCACACACACAACTTGCTAAGCACTTCAACTTACAGAAGTGAAAATCTGCTCCTAGCGACACAAAGTCAAATATCTCAGAGCGATGATACACACTGATATATTTAGATCTACACTAAACTGATAAGATAAACTCAGATTTAACTATGATGAAAATTATATCTAACCATATACATTCTACGGCCATGAAATCAACCAGCCTACCGTCACTCGATCGCCCAAACCCGCACTGCTATGCCCATGTGCGTGCAGTGGTCTTTTGGCAGGAGCTCCTGTCACCGGGCGACAGCATAGGCAGTTTCCCGGGTGTATCGTTTTATAATCAACTCTTGACCCCCTGCGTGCCATCTCCCCCCCCCCCCTTTCCAAGTGAAGCTAGACAAATAAATCATGACAGGAATAGGCTACCCGGCTAACATAACATCAGTTGTTAGTATTAGTATTTGTTATTAATTTCATGTTGTTATGTTGGCATTAAAGAAAGTAATATTAAAAGAAAAGATAAAGAAATCGTTGTTCCTGGATCTTTATGAATGTTTGTAACCCCGGGTGCACAATCAAATACAACTAACGCCAGCATAATCAAAATAATCCATATTAATTAAAAAGAAAAGTCAAATAATGATGCCACGCAACAGTGGGACCTATATTGATATAAATAATTCACAGAGAGAAAGGGAGAGAGAGAGCGAGAGAGTGAGAGAGAGAGAGAGAGAGAGAGAGAGAGAGAGAGACGTTTGAAATATACGGGTCATATTTAAAGACATACAGGAATAGCCATACTGGAGGTGAAAGTTGACGGCAGCAAGCATGTTACAGTTAATTGAGTTAGCTTAATATCATTGGCTCTCCTGTCAACTACGGCCGGTAGACAACAGTAGACGGCCGGTTAGTCAGAGTTCTATCCCTTGGCTACAGTGCAATTACGGAGTGGAAAAGGAGGGAACGAAACAAGTGACACAATTAAGGGTTTGGGTTAGGGTTAGAGTTAGGTTTGGGTTAGGGTTTGGGTTAGGGTAACACATGTAACGTCGAGTACTTACCCGTAATGACGGCCGCTATATGTGATAATTTTCAGACAGGAGTTCCAAATAATGGCCGACAATGTGCTGCTTGTGGCAGTGGCGCCATTGAAATTCTGCTAAATGTGAAGGCAATAGCGCCCGGCTAGTGCTTAATTGTAGCGCCCGTAAGTAGCTAATTGTCAATTCTGAAAACATTAGACCTAAAAAAAAAAAAGGGGGGGGGGGCAGTACTGCCTACAATTGCGTACGGCTAGAAAAGGCATGCATTTGACGATGATGACAACGACGACAACCATAACCACAGCTGAGGAAGATGATGATGATGGTGACATTGAATCATATGAGAAATTAAAAAGACTTCAAAGTCACCCACTGCATTTTAAAGTTCAAGAGAGAACAAAAAACAGACTGAAGCGTCAGAGCTCCAACCACCTTGCTAGAGAACTGTACAGACAGCACCAAGATCTGCTTGAAAGAGACGTAGCACTGTGCGAAAAACTTAGGCCATAACCACGGACAAGCAAGCCAGAGAAAGCAAATGTAGTCCTAAAGGTACCAGGGATCACTTCAAAAGATGGCCAGACATAGACACAACAGAGAACCCTGGCTCTTGCTATGCCTGATGAGAAGTATCCAAACACCACTTGGACTCGGGTTTTCACCGACGGCTCTGCTACCGATGCAGTCAGAAAGGGGAGTTGTGGAATATACATTAAACCCCCTAGCAGTAGAGCAGAAACTCTCTCTCTCTCTCTCTACCAGCAGGTGACATCTGCACTAACTTCAGAGCTGAGGCAACTGCCCTCCTTTCTGCAGTCCAACATCTCATCACCCAAGAACACAGAGGGCACACAATTGTTATACTTAGTGATTCATTGTCTGTACTCCAAGCACTATCCAGCAGAAAACAAGACAAACTAATTGCAACATTGGCTAACTCCCCAAGGAAGCAGAACTGGTCTTGCAGTGGATACCAGCCCACTGTGGTATTCAAGGAAATGAGAGAGCAGATGAGTTGGCAAAAGCTGGGAGTAATCTTCCACAACCTCATCCACCACACAGCTACTAGGAAACCAAAACAGCGCTAAAGCAGTCTTTCAAGCGGGAGTGGAGAAGGCAGAATGGTGATTACAGACCAGAGAGTGACAGCATAAACAAACTCAACAGGAAAGAACAAACATCAATTTTTAGACTTCGGACTGGACACTGTGGCCTTCGAGCACACCTGTACAGGATAGGCATAAAAGAAGCTGCTGCCTGTGATTGTGGAGCAGAAAGACAGACCCCTGAGCACAAACTGGAGTACTGCCCTTTGCTCTCCCAGCAAAGACTGTGGATCTGGCCCAGGGGATCCACACTGCGAGAGAAGCTATGGGGGACCGGTGGCGACCTTAAACAGACAATCCTATTTGTGACCCAGACGGGACTCAATGTTTAGCATGACTGATGTTCAACGCAGAAGAAGAAGAAGATTGAATCGTGTAACAGGGTTGCCAGATAAAAAACTTCATTTTGTGCCAAACCATTACTCAAAATATGCCAGAAAATTGCCAAATCAAGTGTAACATTGTACTCACTTCACATCAAAAGCTCTAGATTGCATTCTTCACAGTCATCCTCACTGGAACCAGTGGAAGATGCAGCATAAACCTTCTCGGATGTAAAATCTTTAAGCATTTTCTCAGATGGAATGAAGTCTTTGCAACATTTCTTTGATATCAATAGTTATGCTCTATTTCTGACAACTGCATCTAGAAAATCCAGTTGTGTTTTGTTTCTTGCTTTTGATTTAGTTGAAGTAACAAGAGAGAATATTCTCTCAACTACAGCATTGCTAACGGGCATTATTAAGCAAGTAAGGGCGAAAGTTGCCAACTCTTTAAATGCCTGGTGTCCAAGTACGCCTATCCAAAAATCTTCACTGTTCGTAGGTAGTTCATCCTTCTTAAATGTAGCTTCTTCTTTCCAGTTGACAACAATCAGTTTTCTATACTGTTCTTCTATAATACTGATGTTGTTTTCTGCCGTGTGTAAAAATGATAGCTCTGAAAACTGTGTCCTTGATATTTGATTTAAAACTGCCAAAGGGCTCAATATTCTCTGTGGGATGTCTACACGTAATTTGACTGAGAGCTTCCTCTAGCAAAGACATACTTCTTTCTTTAACATTGTTTATTTCTATCTGAGCTTCAGTCCTGTTATTTTTATGTAGGAACGCATTACATTCCGTTAGGAATTTAATACCAAAGTCAACGTGATAATTATTTTTTTTCCTGCTCATTGACGTCATAGTCTGTTCTTAAGACTGTTCTGGTGCTTGGCAATTGCACTACAAATGCAGAGTGCTAGTGAATGGCAGATACATCTGAGCTGTACACAAAAAGGAGACACATCTTTAATTCTGGACCATACAGAGTTCTTGCACCCGACCATGTTTGAAGCGCCATCTGACGCAAACCAAATGCAATTTGTAAGACTCTGACCACACCTTTTGATTTCCTTATCAATCAAATTAAATATGTTTTCTCCTGTAGCCACTTGCAAGGAAATTAAAGCAAGAAATCCGGTAAATATTTCATTTTTCCTGTCACATGATTTGAAATGCTACTAATTCTTGGTGAAACAGTGCACTGACACAGTTTACAATATGCTGCCTCTGATCCGTCTGAAGATCTTTTGAGCCATCTGTATATTTTCTCCCAATTACTATTATACTTGCGATTGCTGTCATAAGATGCTTTCCATTTGTGTGTGTGTGTGTGTGTGTGTGTGGATGACGTGACCATTGGTAAAGGTAATAAAATCTATTACAGATAGAATAGAACTAGATATATATCCTATCTATTTTCTGTCCTCAAGTAGTTCCTGAACAGTCTGAATCACTTGGTATCAGTGGTGGGTTTTCGTTTTATATCTCACATTTATTCTAGTAAATTAAAATAAATTACAGAGGTTTATAGCAGTCACGATCCGATTAGGAAGACAACAAAACAATAAGAAATGGCGCGAATCTCTGTTAGTACGCACCAAGACATCACAACAAAGTCAAACTGCAATAAATATTTTAACTGTAGGTCTACATTGCTTTTAGTAAAATTGCGTGTTTCTAACAGAGGAACCATGAAGAAAATGTGAGCACATCTTGATAAGAAATGCCAGGAAAAACCCAAATATGCCAGTTCATTATCTTATGCCAGTTCAATTTCAAATATGCCAGATTTGTGGAATCTGGCATAAAAAATGCCAATATGGCAACCCTGTCGTGTAATGATGAATAGTAAAATCAGAAGTACATTACTATTACAGTCTCCAGCAGTCAAAAACCAAACATGTACACAACATACACAGTGTTGCCACTTTGGATCTTTTGTATCCAAATTTAGATCTTTTTCATTGCGTTTAGATCCTGTTTTTGACGTTTAGATACTAAATATTTTTCTAGATTCTTTTCATATGGAGTTAGATATTTTATAGCTTTTTTTTTCTTTTAGTGTCATTTTAATAATTATTGAGTAAAATATTTACTGAAATATTTTTGTTTTGGTCTGGCACGTACATTGTGGCAACTGCCATTACTTAAACTTTGAACTCTCACTGGGGTCAACACTCAAATATCTGACAACCCCGGTGCTGATTAATCGAAATCGCGCGTAAATCATACTGACTTTGTTTCAACCGTATCCTCACTGTGTTGTGAAGTATAGCTGTGATGCTGACTCTGTGTTTCTTTTTCATGTGATTTTTAAAAAATAATTGCTCACCTTCTTGTGTGGCTTTCATTTTGAAAAAAACCTTTCAACATGCCAAAAGTAAAGTATGAGCAAAGATTTCGTAAAGAGTGGTTGCATGATGACAAAATTAAAGACTGGGTGATGGCAGTTCCTGGGGATATAACCAAGGCTCGTTGTAAGTACTGCAAGTGTGAAATTAAAGCGAAAATACAAGACTTAAAGAAGCATGCAGAGACTAACAAGCATAAAACTGCAGTTCCATTTAAAGATATTACACCGCTGACATTTGTTTTCAGAACTACACTGATAAATGAATCATCAAAAGTTGAAGGGTCGGTCGCAATGTTTTTAAATTGCCATTGTGCAATTTCAAACTGTGACCATTTGATTGATTTGTTTAAAAACACAATTTCTGACAGTAAAGTTATGGATGATGTGAAAATGCATCTCAGCAAGTGTACACATATTATAAGAAATACTTTATTTTCTCACTTCGAAAAAGATTTGATCAGTGATATTTCTACAAATAAATATAGTTTATTATTAGACGAATCAAATGATATTTCGGTACTGAAAGTGCTTGGTGTGTGTATTATATATTACAGCAACAATACAGAAAAAGTAGTTTCTACATATCTTGGACTAGTTCAATTGGAAAATTGTGATGCAGAAAGTATAGTTCAAGAACTGAAGAACCTTTTAATCAGCAAACAGTTAGACTTGACAAATTTGGTTGCAATTGGTACCGATAATGCCTCAGTGATGGTTGGCATAAACAATGGCGTTTATGCCAAGTTGAAGGAAGCTATCCCATCGTTAATACTTATAAAATGTATGTGTCATTCATTGCAGCTAGCATTATAACATGCTTCATCTGAATGTTTACCAAGGAATTTGGAATACCTTATTGCTGAAACACATAACTGGTTTTCAAAATCATTTGTCAGACAACAGCAATACAATGCATTGTATTCAGCCTTAAATAATGGTTCCACACCACTAAAATTCTGTCAGATTGCAAAACCAGGTGGTTATCAATACAACCAGCTGTTGAAAAAATTGTGAACCAATGGTTGGAGTTAAAGACACACTTTGAAATAACAAGACAAAGTGAAAAGTGCTACACAGCTGAGATACTATATGGAATGTACAGTGATGAAAAAAAATTGGCATTCCTTCTCTTTTTACAACCTATTCTAATGGAAGTGCAAAAAGTTAATAAACTGTTCGAATCCAAACATGTTGATAAAGTTAAATTACTTGACGATCTCACTTTGCTATTTTACTCAGTTGGTAAAAGACTGGTGTTGCCAACTTCAAAAGTTGATTTGCTCACTTGCACTATAGAGAGCTATTTGGCTCCTAAGCCATACCTTGGATATCAAATTGAATCAAAAATTGATGATTTAAAAACAAAAGGACTGTTAACAGAGAATGAAGAGAACAACTTAAGAAAACGCTGTCAAGATTTCATTATCTCATTGTTCAAGCAACTAAAGCAGAGACTTCCTGAAAATCTAGATGTATTGAAACATATTTCACTCTTTTCTGTGAGCAACATACTTCAGCCAGTAAAGGACATACCTAAATATTGTAAAGTTATGAAATTTGTAGGGGCTACTGACAATAGTGTCGCGGAAGCAGAATATCAGTTAACCAAAATAAACTTAGTTGAATTGACAAACAAAACAGAAACTGAAGCGTTTTGGAGTGAAGTGAGACAATTTAAAGATGCCTCATCAAACAGTCCATTCTGTAAACTCTTTGAATGTGCCATGTCTGCCATGATACTACCCCACTCAAATGCTGACGTAGAAAGAGTTTTCAGTGCTATGAATTACATCAAATCTAACCTAAGAAACAGGATGAAATTAGACCTCTTAAATGCTATCTTGACAATAAAGTTTGGCCTGATGAGAGTAGGAAAATGCTGTTCCACTTATCAGCTCCCTGATTGTGTATTAAAAGAAATAGGAACAGCTAAAGCATACCAGAGTAATTTGGGATCTGAAGCTTCAACTTCATCATCCAAGCTAAGTTTATCCTATGGATCTTGTGAGGCAGACATCAGTGAAGATGAGGACATGTGTCTATAGGGTAAGTCATTTCAATAGTTTTGTAATTTGTGACTCTTTTCATTTGGATAATTTTTTTTAATATTTTCCACGCAAATTTAGATCTTTTTAGATATTTTTTTTTACCCCGTTTTGGATCTTTTTTGTCAAAGTCAAAGAAAAGTGGCAACACTGAACATACACAACAAACGGGCCGAAGTCCAGAAGGTGATCACAAGTTTAAGGCGTGTGTGATCCGGAAAGACGGCAAAGAGAATTATGTCAAACCATAAACTTCTGCGACCAGATGCTAAAGTGACTCATGTTATTTTCGACGTGGACGGATTACTGTTGGGTAAATTAATGTTTGTAATTGTTCTCTCATACTTTTTCTTCACGTTCACCGGCTGTAAACTCAAAGGGACAGTTCTGGTTGTTGTGCGTCTACTTCTGGACTCCAGTCCTTTTCCAGAACCTCCGTGTCGCGTGCATATCCGGTTTACAGATCATATATATATTATATGTGTATGTAGACTTTTGGTTCTTGGCCTCTCGGACAATTGCATTTCGATTTCAAAGGAAGTTTCCAGTTAGTTGATTCTTACGACATTGGGGAGCTAGCGGGTCCATTCTAATCATGTTTTCCCCACAGTGGAGTTTCCAAACCCATATCGGGATCTCCCCCTCCCACCCTCTCTCTCTCTCTCTCTCTCTCTCTCTCTCTCTCTTATAAAATACCCATCTTGTTTATCCTGTGCCAGCACAAACAACACTGAATTCCTATCACTGCCCCTGGTGGAACAAAATTGAGAGAGAGAGATCAGTGTCAGAAAATCCAGTAGCACACACACATTATAAATGCATAAGACAGCCCATCACGAGTGCCAATACAAGCAGTCTATCACTAGAAATGCAGTTCATAATTGATGGACATAGCAGTTACTACTAATCAGTAGCTGCCCATGCAATTAATTGTATACGGCACCACCAGTTTTCAGGCAACAGGGCACTCACCATTTTCTAAATTTGCAGTTCCTAACAGAAACCTAAATGGGCGCAGTCAATATATATTCCAGATGAAATCCACAGCTCACATTGTCGCTCCACTCACTTAACTCAGTAGTTGGTTGACAGAATTGAAGCCTTGCAGTCTACATATGAAGGAAAATGGGCTATCGTCCAAACAATGGTCCCAAATTAACGAGGCCGACAATATACCCTAACAGGGCCTCATTCGCGTGTCAATTGCGGACTTCCAGCCACTTAAAGTGCACACTTCAGGCGACTGCTACCACCGCCGAGAGTATCTCCCACGCCGCTACGCATGGCGTGGATTGGGACTAAACTACACGGTTGGGACTCACGAGCAGCAGCTACCATATCTCCTGCAGCTTCCTTCATTTTATTTGCTCGTGAGTCCCAGCCATCTAGTTTAGCCCCAACCCACGCCACGCGTAGCGGCGTGGGAGATACTCTCGGCGGTGGCGGGAGTCTTGGCGCTGGCAGAAGTCCGCAATTGACACGTGACTGAGGCCCTGTTAGGGTATATTGTTGGCCTTGATAATTTGGGACCGTTATTCGGAAGATAGCCAAAAAATGCAACACATAACAATAGTCAGAAGCAAAAGGTTGCCATGACTCAAAGCCTTAATCTAGCCTATTCACCATACTGACTCGAAGAGAATAATTACGTAAACAGAAAAATTCCTCTGCACATCTGCATGATTGAATCCGCCCATCTGTCTTTCATTCTCTGTCAGCTTGCCTTTCTGAAGTGTGTGTGTTTTAAAAGATGGGTGTCCCGAGTTCTGTGATGTTGATTCCTAATTCAACAATCAACATTCAACACTCAAAACATTTGGTCATATTTGTGCGTTGCTTTTTCGTCCCATGCATTGAATTTTCTAGTCCCACTTAGTATTGTATTCAGTGTATCTTTGTGAGAAAACAGGAGATGTATAACAAAGTGACCTGTTGATTGATGCACATGACAGATAGCCAGTAATATGTAGTGTGTTACTTCTGTTATAAAAGTTTCAGAGCAAAAACCATTCAGCCACATAATATTCTTGCCCTCGTACAGATTTAAGGTTACTGCTTCATAATCGTCAGAGGTCCCATTTATGGTTAAACAAGACTTACTGGTATTTGTAGATGTAAGATTCTAAATCTTAAACGACTGCAGTCCTGGAGGTGACAAACTGTAGTTGTTCAGAAGCAATGGCAACCAATGAAATGTAAAAATATAAATATTACAAATTGTCTTTATAGATGTCACATGAAAGGGTTCTATTTAAAGGACAGCCACAATCTTTATTAGGTAAAATTTCTATAAATGTCATGCCAAAATGTTACATCTGTATAACTGTCATAAGTAAATATCATATGCAAATGTTACATTTCTGTAAGTGTCAGATGTAAATGTTACTTCCCTATAACTCATATGTAAGTTTCTATAACAGTTACATGTAAATGTTATGTTTCTATAACTGTCACATGTAAATTTGCATTTCTGTAAGTATCATATGTAAATATAACATATCTTTAACTATCTTGTGTAAATGTAACATCTCTATAACTGTTACATCTCTTTAACTGCCTTATATAAATGTTTCAAAATTATCCAAATCTGTTATCAGACACAGAGCGGATCTACACCGAATGTTTCCAAGAAATCTGTGCTGAGTTTGATAAGGAATTCACCTGGGACATCAAAGTCAAACAAATGGGCAAAAAGGAAAAAGAATCAGGACAGGTGCTGCTAGGTGAGTTATAGTTGTGTTACCTTGGGTGTTATGGCAATACAGATCCATTCAACTGTCTGGTATATTTTGTTCTTGTTCTTCTTCTTCTTCTTCCTCCTCCTCTTCTTCTTCTTCTTCTTCTTCTTCTTCTTCTTCTTCTTCTTCTTCTTCTTCTTCTTCTTCTTCTTCTTCTTCTTTTCTTATTTTTACTTTGTCCACCATGAAAAGGGGGTTTGGCCTGTTATGATATGATTTACAGTTAGACTATGATATATGCACCTTTTGGCCAAACTCATCCAGTTTCAGCAAATCTTCAATTAAGTGCCTTTTACGACATGTTTGGTAAAGATAGTGTGACTATTTTCTACACCCACCCCTTAATGCTCAACACATACATTAGAGTATCAGGAGACATTAACCACCCACTGCACAGCTCTCTATCAGTGATATAAAATTGGTGTGTCTCAAAATAGGCTGCTCCTAGATGGCCCAGGCTGAAAATTTAATCCAGCAGGTATGTGACCTAGACATGATCAGTCATGGAAAAGAATTGATGGCTACACCAGTAGACATGAATGACCTGTTAGAAGTCATAACACTAGGGAAGCACTGCAAGAACCAGTGAGATAAGGGCACTGTTAGATCAGCATTCATACCCAGAAGGCATCACCGTCTACACAGATGGATCAGTGAAGTGCAGGTTAAGGTCAGCATGGGCATGAATAGCACAAAGAACTGGACAAATAATAAAAGAGGATAATGGCACTTATCAGGCAATTACCTCCATGACTGTGGAGATAACCGCTGCTTCCAAAGCACTTGCATGACAGCACAACAAGTGGCCACACATGACTCGATGAGAATACTCCAGAACATTTCAACAGGTAGTCTGCTCTCTGAATGGGTAGAAAGTCACAGGAGTGAAAGATAATGAACAAGCCGACCAGCTAGTAAGTATTGCACCAATGCATACGAGAAGAAGCATGCTATAGAGCTGATATCATCAGTGCTTTACAGACAAGGCTGGCCAATGATGATCAATCTCTTATGCTAACAATTTTGCACGACCTGGCAGTACAGCTTGGTGAAGCACATCTATTCCATCTTTGAGGTCAAGATAGGAGATACTGTAATCAATTTCTCATGGAAAGAATCAGTACAATACCTGAGCATGGCTGCTGCATTGGAGGACTGAGCATACATGGGAATGCCCATTGTGTAGTGGTGTGATAGTGACATTGATAATTAAACAAAGCTTAAAGTGCTTGCCTGCATGGATACTATGCTGTCGAGTCTGTCTTTAGGATTGTGTACATGTGTCTGTTTGTTTTGTCCTGCATCGTATTGGGAGGTGCTGTGGTGTAGCGGCTAGGCACTTGCCCGCAGATCAGAAGGTCATAGGGTAAATTACCAGTGGAGCCAGACTTCTTAAAAAAAAAAAAAAAAACATGTTAACCCACCGAACCGTCTGTGTAAATGATCAAATCCTCTGAGCGAGCATTATCTTGAATTAATTGCTGAATGTCCACCTCTATGGACCCTGCTGGCCAGTCTATGCATTTCCGGCTCAGTGTGATTATGACCCTTCACAAGTCTTACTGTTCAGGTGGCACTTTCACCCACTCCTCTCCTCTCCTAATGTTCTCAAGGATGCAGACCTGTCTGATTGCCTGAGCCATCCATGACTTCCCTCTTATCAGCTCTTGACCCTTAACTGCACCCAGAGCTTCATGTAAAGGGTGGTCCGTGTCTGCAGCTACCCTGAGATATGATTTCACCTGCAGAACCTTATGCCTACCTGCAACAGTCGGCAAACCAAAGATGTATCGCATACACACCACTGGGGTGTCTCTGGTGCAACCCAGAATGACCCGCATAGCTGCATTCTGTATGCTCTCTAGTTTGTCCATCTGACTCTTTGAGATGGTCCCATTCCATAATCAACCACTCACAGGATCAGGTGCTGATATAGTGTGAAAAGCATTCTCTGCTCTGTGTCAGTTGCAGCACTTAACTTTACTTATCCAGCTTGTATGATGAAATTGGGCAGGAATAGCTAAGACATATTGTCACTTGTTATAACACTTGTTATAACACATCAGTCTGATCCTTTTGTGCACCGTCCTCCAACAGCCGTCTCAGTGACTCCATGCTTCAGCGTATCCATATAACAGCTTTGACAGTGTAGAATGTTGAATCAAGAATTGACATCACAGCACTCAGGACACCTTTCCCAACTTCAGCAGCAAGCGAAATGTTAAAATTCCAATGGTGACAGCTTTGACATATTTATTATATATATATATATGCTAACAGCTTTGACATATTTATTATATATATATATATATATATATATATATATATATATATATATATATATATATATATATATATATATATATATATATATATATATATATATATATATATGTATATATATATGCTAACAGCTTTGACATATTTATTATATATGTATATATATATATATATATATATATATATATATATATATATATATATATATATATATATATATATATATATACTAACAGCTTTGACATATTTATTATATATATATATATGCTAACAGCTTTGACATATTAGCATATATATATAATATAATAAAATAATATTATAGCCGAAAATGGTATACGAATCACTATAGGTATTGCATTGGTTGATTTCTTACATAGTGAGATACCTAGTTTGCTTGGATAAGGGGGGAAAAACAGGTCTTACATACACGCTGTGTACATTATAAATCCAATGATTGTCAAAAACTTCACAGGCAAGACCTCTGCCCCTGCCATGTTGTTAGAAAAGGAAACCTACTCATGAGTACCTTAGATGGAATCTGTGTAGAAAAGTGGTCTCAAAACTGACCAGGGGTCAGGGGGATGAACACAAGTAAGCAAGGAGTTTTCAAGCGGGCCATCGAACAATATTAAAAGAAATCCAATTAATATGAAGAAATTATGGGGAGACATGGTCTAGGAGTAATGAATGAAAATGGAGAATAGTTCACAAATTTTTGTGCAGGTAACCAGTATGTTATTGGTGGAAGTATTTTTCCCCATAAAAGAATACACAAGGCAACATGGGAATCACCAGACCATAAGACAACTAATCAAATTGACCACATATGTATTAACAAAAAGTTTAGATCATCCCTTTACGATGTTAGGGCTTTCAGAGGTGCCGATGTATTTACTGACCATTTCCTGGTGATAAGTAAAATCAAGTTGAAACTAAAAAGATATATATAACATCTTATAATCATAGAAACCAATATAATGTAGGCTTTCTCAGAGATAAAGAAATTAAGGAACAGTTCTCAGTTACGGTCTCTAATAAGTACCAGGTGTTGCAGCAGTTAGCTGAAGATGTCAACACAGAAGTCTGCTGGGATCAGATCAAAGGAATCTGGAATAAATCTTGCGTAGAAGTTCTTGGCAAGAAAGAAAGGAAACATAAAGCATGGATAACATCAGAAACCATTAAACTGATTGAAGATAGGAAAAGTAAAAAGGCATAATTAAACAATAGCAAAACTAGAGCTGCTAAAGCTAGAGCTCAGGAGAATTACACAGAAGCCAACAAGGAAGTTAGGAGGCATATAAGGGCAGATAAAGTGAAATATCTAAATGATCTAGCACAAGAAGCGGGGACAGCAGCAGCAAAAGGAAACCTCAGAGAACTTTACAGTAACACAAGAAAATTAGTAGGTAAATATAGTCAGCCAACTGGATCAATCAAAAATAGTCAAGGAAAGGTACTTACTAACACTAAAGATCAAATGGACAGATGGGTTGAATATTTTGAAATGCTTCTAAATAGACCAGGCCCAGAGGTTCCCCCAGATATCCAGCCTTTAGAAATGGAACTGGATATCAACTGTGAGATACCATCCAAAGAGGAAATTAGAAAAGCTATAAATCTTCTTAAGGAAGGAAAGGCGTCAGGCCCAGATGGTTTCCCAGCTGAAGCCATCAGGACCAACATAAACACATCAACAGAATTGCTACATAAATTATTCAGTAAAGTCTAGGAGACCGAAGAAATACCAGCAGACTGGAGAGAAGGATATCTTGTGAAACTGCCCAAAAAAGGTGATCTACAGGAGTGTGAAAACTATAAAAGAATTATGTTGCTGTCAGTTCCTGGAAAAATATTAAGTAGAATTATTTTGGAAAGATTAAAAGATGCTATTGATAAAATGCTAAGAGATGAGCAGGCAGGTTTTCGGTCAAACAGATCCTGTACTGATCAGATAGCCACATTACGTATTATAATAGAGCAAAGCATTGAACTGAACTCACCACTTTACATTGGATTTATAGACTATGAAAAAGCATTTGACAGCATTGATAGGGAATCTCTCTGGAAATTGATGGGGCACTATGGAATCCCACAGAAAATAATCAACTTAGTAAAGGCAACATATAAAGACATGAAATGTCGAGTTCTTCATGAGGGAAAGCTAACAGATGCATTTGAAGTAAAAACAGGTGTGCGACAGGGATGTCTTTTGTCGCCTCTCTTATTTTTACTGGCTATAGACTGGACTATGCAAACAGTAACTGCTAACACCAAGAATGGAATTCAGTGGACCCCTACAAAACAGCTTGATGATCTGGACTTCGCTGATGATATTGCCCTTCTGTCCCATTCACGGAATCAGATACAAGATAAATTAAATATACTTAATGCGAGATCACAGCAGCTTGGTCTGAAAATCCATAAAGGAAAGACAAAGATAATGAGAAAAAATCAGGCAAATAGTAATGTGTTTTCTCTTAATGGCACCCCACTCCAAGACGTGGAGTCGTACACCTATTTAGGCAGTAATGTAGATAAAGATGGAGGAACTGATAGAGATATTCAAATAAGAATACAAAAGGCAAGAGGGGCTTTCATTGCACTAGGGAATTTGTGGAGGTCAAAAGAAATACTAAACTAAAAATTTTTAATTATAATGTCAAATCGGAAACATGGAGAACAACCAAGGCAATTACTAATAAATTACAGATATTCATTAACTGGTGCCTGCGCAGAATAGAGGGAATAAAATGATACGATAGAATAACTAATGTAAAACTTTGGGAGAGAACTAAACAGGCTCCAGTGGATCAGGAGGTGAGGAAAAGACGCTGGCGTTGAATAGGGCACACACTGAGAAAACAGGAGAACAGCATAACTAGAATGTCTTTGCATTGGAACCCACAGGGGCATAGGAATAAAGGAAGGCCAAAAAAAAACACGGAGAAGAGAGCTGGAGAATGAGGTTAGAAAGATTGGGAGGACATGGGGAGAGCTCCATGCAATGGCAAAGGATAGAACGACTTGGCATGAGTTGGTTGAGGGCCTATGCTCCATTGGGGGATAGAAAGGCAGAAGAAGAATTAATATGATAACTCATGCATTCAATTATAGATTAAGAATACATTCTGACCAAAAGTTGTGTTCATACTTTCTGTTTTTCTTGTTGTGGAATCTGTTTAATCACATTTTAATAATGCTCAGTGTATGTGCGTGCATGTGAGTGGGAGAGGGGATCTTGCCAAAATACTCAAGAGGGGCCTTGCCATATACTCAGTGTGGACATGGGGGCCTTGCCATATACTCAGTGTGGACATAGGGCCTTGCCATATACTCAGTGTGGACATGGGGGCCTTGCCATATACTCAGTGTGGACATTGGGGCCTTGCCATATACTCAGTGTGGACATGGGGGCCTTGCCATATACTCAGTGTGGACATAGGGCCTTGCCATATACTCAGTGTGGACTTGGGGGCCTTGCCATATACTCAGTGTGGACTTGGGGGCCTTGTCATATACTCAGTGTGGACATGGGGCCTTGCCATATACTCAGTGTGGACATGGGGGCCTTGCCATATACTCAGTGTGGACATGGGGGCCTTGCCATATACTCAGTGTGGACATGGGGCCTTGCCATATACTCAGTGTGGACATGGGGGCCTTGCCATATACTCAGTGTGGACATGGGGGCCTTGCCATATACTCAGTGTGGACATGGGGGCCTTGCCATATACTCAGTGTGGACATGGGGGCCTTGCCATATACTCAGTGTGAGCATGGGGCCTTGCCATATACTCAGTGTGGACATGGGGGCCTTGCCATATACTCAGTGTGGACATGGGGGCCTTGCCATATACTCAGTGTGGACATGGGGGCCTTGCCATATACTCAGTGTGGACATGGGGGCCTTGCCATATACTCAGTGTGGACATGGGGGCCTTGCCATATACTCAGTGTGGACATGGGGGCCTTGCCATATACTCAGTGTGGACATGGGGGCCTTGCCATATACTCAGTGTGGACATGGGGCCCTCCAATATACTCAGTGTGGACATGGGGGCCTTGCCATATACTCAGTGTGGACATGGGGGCCTTGCCATATACTCAGTGTGGACATGGGGGCCTTGCCATATACTCAGTGTGGACTTGGGGGCCTTGCCATATACTCAGTGTGGACATGGGGCCTTGCCATATACTCAGTGTGGACATGGGGGCCTTGCCATATACTCAGTGTGGACATGGGGGCCTTGCCATATACTCAGTGTGGACATGGGGGCCTTGCCATATACTCAGTGTGGACATGTGGCCTTGCCATATACTCAGTGTGGACATGGGGGCCTTGCCATATACTCAGTGTGGACATGGGGGCCTTGCCATATACTCAGTGTGGACATTGGGGTCTTGCCATATACTCAGTGTGGACATGGGGCCTTGCCATATACTCAGTGTGGACATGGGGCCTTGCCATATACTGTGAACTATGGTGCCTTTGCCATATCCTCAAGGGGGACATGTGACCTTGCCATTTCCTCAAGGGGGACACGGGGGCCTTGCATTATCCTCAAGGGGAGTATGGGAGTCTTGCCATATCCTCAAGAGGGACGTTCGGGTCTTTCCATATACTCAATGCATGATGTAGTCAGAAACACCGACCCTAAGGTGCATAACTAAGATGTGTCCAGCACTCCGCTTGAAAGTGGAATGAATGAAGTGAAGAAGAAAAAGGGTAATAAAATAATATGCCTCATTGGAATGTGAAGGCAGGCTCATGCATTTAAGCATTTAATGTGTTTGTATGCTATTGGCTGTGCTGTGACTGCAGTATGTTTCAGAGGTTTTTCACAAGAGATAGTGTAGGACATACTGTGTGGTCTTAACTGGCACAAGAACGGATCAGATGTTAGTAAACCTGTTTGCCATGAAGTTCTAACTGTGATAAACTGATTAATATTAGAATGCTTTTGCTAATTATTGATCAGGACATTTTTTTCATGGTTTCAGACACTTTAAATTTGCCGCTGTCTCTGGATGAGCTGATAAGAAAATTGAGAGAGAAACTTGATGAGAAGCTCCCGTTTACAGAACTCCTGCCAGGTGTGTGTTTTATGCGTGGATACTTGGTACATTCTAGAACTCCTTTTCCCTCATATATTTCACACACACTGTCTGTCTCTCTCTCTTTTTTCTCTCTCTGTCTCTGTTACACTCCCTCTTCCACTCTCTTTTTTCTCTGTCTCTCTTTCCCCTCCACCGCCTCTACCTCTCATTCATACATTCACCCCTCTGCCTGTGTCATTTATCTCCTCCATCTCTCCCTTCTCTCTCTTTCTCTTGTTCTTGCTCTCTCTCTCTCACCCTCCATTTCTCTCTCATTTACTTACTCAACTTACCGCTGTCTATTTCTCCTTCTAATTCATATATCACATACACAATCTGTCTCCTTCTTGTTTTCTCTCTCTCTCTCCCTCTGTTGCACTTCCTCTCACACTCTTTTTCTCTCTCTTTCTCTTTCCCCTCCACCGCCTCTCCCTCTCATTCATACATTCACCTCTCTGCCTGTGTCATTTGTCTCCTCCATCTCTCCCTTCTCTCTCTTTCTCTTGTTCTTGCTCTCTCTCTCCCCCCTTCCATCTCTCTCTCATTTACTCACTCACCTTACCACTGTCTATTTCTCCTTATCACTTATATATCATACACACACACTGTCTGTCTCATTCCTTTGTTCTCTATCTCCCACTCTGTTACACTCCCTCTCACACTCTATTTCTCTCTTTTTCTCTTTCCCCTCCACCACCTCTCCCTCTCATTCATACATTCAACTCTCTGCCTGTGTCATTTATCTCCTCCATCTCTCCCTTGTTTGTCTTGTTCTTGCTCTCCCTCTCACTCTCTCCTCCCTCTCTCTCTCTCATTTACTCATTCACCTTACCCCTGCCTATTTCTTCTCCGCCCCATCTCTAAGGTTGTCATCACACTCGGAAGGTACTGCAGGGATCAAATTCCTGCGGCGGTAGACACAGAAGTAAGGGAACTGATAGATCAGCATTCAGACCCAGAAGATACCATCATCTACACAGATGGATCTGTGAAGCGCGGATCGAGGTCAGCATGGGCATACACAGCGCAAAGAAAGGGGAAAACAATACATGAGGACAGCGGCGCTTACCAGACAACCACGTCAAGCATGACAATGGAAATAGCCGCTGCTTCTAGAGCTTTAGCATGGGTATCCGAGCAAACCGCCACACAGGTAGTAATTGTCTCAGACTCAATGAATATGCTTCAGAAGATAGCAACAGGCAGTATGCGCTCTGAATGGATAGAAAGCATCAGGAAATCGCACTTAACCTCCGTAACCTGGATCTACACACCGGGTCATGCGGGCGTGAAGGGAAATGAGCGAGCAGACCAACTGGCAAGCACTGCACTAATGATTGCAGGAAAAAGTATGGACAGAGCAGACATAGCCAACGCTGTACGAACCGGGCTAGTGGAGAATGAGGAATCCCTGACACTAACACGATTGCGTGACATGGGAGTTAAGCATGGTGATGCACGTCTTTGCCGTCTTCGAGGCCGAGAAAGGAGACAATATAACCAGCTTCTCATGGGGACAATTAGTAGAAGTACTTTAGAGTGGCTGCTGCTTCGGAGAACTGAGCACGCATGGGTATGCCCAATGTGCAGTGACATTAATTGTGATAACAGAACATAAAATAACATCTTAGTAGGGAGTCGGCAGTACGAAACCCAAGTTCAAGGTGTCTCCTTCGTGCCAAAGAACTGCATGGCTGTTGGGTGAACAAAGGTGGTTTTTTTTTAAGCCGTGGCAAATATTTTTCCAGACGGTGGCCGTTGCATTTTTGCTCCAGTTGTAGACTGGAAGGATGTAGTTTCGTCGCCCAGCTTCTGAGTTGAGTGCATGGTGTGACACTGTGAGCTGCGTTTGTTTTTCGTTGCCACAGGAGCGGAGCATGTGTGGGGTGACCCGTTTGCTATGAAGCTGAAACTAGGATTACCAGATTACCAGATTCTCCGCCCCCTTTTCCTCTTCTGCCTCTCCCATTCATTCATGCTTTTACCACATTCTGCCTGTTTGTCTGTTTCTCTGTCTTTGTCTCTGTCCCTCTCTCTTTCTCTCTCTTCTTCTCTCTCCGTCTCTTCCAGCCAGCCGACAGTCCTGTTAACCATTGCACTGTCACATCTCATTTCTGGAAAACTGAAATATCAACTAACTGCTACAAGCAAATTTTTGTTATATCTAAAATATTGTGCATGTAGATACATATTTGTGTTTTCCTCCATACGTCAAACTCTCTCTCTCTCTATCTCTGTCTCTCTCTCACTCTTTCTCTCTCTGTCTCTCTCTGCCTGTCTGTCTGTCTGTCTCCCTCTCTCTCTCTCTCCATTCGTCATTTTGCTTTTAAAATTGTATGTGATAGTTGGCACAATAAATCATCATTTTCGTGAAGATAGTGAAGTTTTTAGACTGATGTTAAAGTCATATGGTTGTGTCACTCAGCTTTCCCTTATCCTAAATGAACTCTGTCGTCTTACATTTTAAATCCAGTGTCTTAACCCCTTTTCACCATTTGGTTAATTTCACACATAATTTTGTTTTCAATGTTTAGTTTAATATATTTGTGAACTAGTCTAGTTTTGTGAAATGAGGTGAAATTTCATAGATGCAGTGGGAAAATGATAGCTACTTATAGCATCATTATTGACCACATCAGAATTGAAATTTGACCAAATGTTATGATAAACTAGCCACTATCTATAGAATCAAGATTGAAAACTGACAAATGTACTATTATTTGGTTTGTGGCATTGTGGTTTGAAGAGAAACATGCCACTTGAAGGGGGGAAAAAAGCAATGAAACAATTCCTTTAATTATCTTCTTCAGGTGCAGAGAAACTAATTCGACACCTGCACAATCATCACATTCCCATTGCACTGGCATCTGGTTCTGATGGTTGGTGTTACCGCAGGAAAATTGCCAGCCACAAGGAACTGTTCAGCCTGTTCCACCACTGTGTATTGAGCAGTGATGACCCAGAGGTAACACACGGAAAGCCATCTCCAGACTGTTTTCTTGTGTGTGCCAGGCGGTTTGATGACAGCCCTAAGCTGGACCAGGTGAGATGCTTATCTGTACCTGTATTTCATATGTAGTTTCCAGGGTCTAATTTTTGTGGGGACGAAAAAGAATAGTCCCATTACCCCCTTAACAAGGTGTGACAAGAACAAAAAAGTGGTGGGGGGGGGGGGGCGTTAATTAAGGGTTTGACAAAATCAAATGTATTGGACCCAAAGGCATAGATACTGCAGTCTGGTTATAAACCATGCAGTCTGGTTATAAACCACAGCATAGTGGGCCAGCCGCTCTGTTAAGGGCAAACACAGAAAAAGAAAAAGTAGATTACCTGTATCATATGTTATTTCCAGTAGTGAATAAGACCACATAAACAGGCTACGTTCAACAGGCAGAAGATATATAGATAAATGCCACTAATACTGAAGTAATACGAGTCAGTAGAATTTCACTAACATATAGAACTGAATAGTGCTTGTCTGTAGCAAGTTTAGGAGTTTAAATATCCAATGGAAGTATACTCTTGATGGATGGCAGAATAGATCAAGAAATAAAAATAAGATGTCAAAGGGCAAATGCTCATATGTACCAACTGACACCATTATTTAAGACATCAAAATAAAAGTACTGCTATTGACATTACTTCTGTCTTTTTAGTGTTGATTCTTGTATTATTTGTTTTACATTCTTCATTCATGGATGTTTTTAAAAGGAGTAGAAAATTATAGGGAAGAAAAAAAGTTGGTAAGAAACAACAAACAGTTTATGTTAGCTTTACAAAATCGATCACAATAAACAAACAAAGGACGTTGTGGATGTTAAATATTGTTGCAATTTCATGGCTGTATCTGCTATCAAGGCCTGGTGAGAACATCACTTTGCATTTATCAGTTGTTATTCAGTTGTTAATTTCAAAATATTTACGTCATTTGGAAAAAGGGGGTGGAGTTGGGGGGGGGGGGGGGACCAGAGTGTGGAAGTGGGGGGGGGGGGGGGGGGGGGGGGAGTAATGTCCCTATCCAGTCTGTTAAATCCACTCTATGTTTATTCATGAATGTATTTTACTCATAATGAGCTTGTGGCAAACACATTGCTATTTTACTATCTTGATTATCTGCTTCACAAATACCCTAAACCTGTATGTTCTTTTCAAAAAGTTATCACGAGTAATCATTACAGGAAATACTTACAGGTGCTTGTATTTGAGGACGCCCCCAATGGTGTGGAGGCTGCGCTGGCTGCTGGCATGCGAGTCGTCTGGGTGCCTGATGATCGAGCTGATAGATCCTCCTTTGAAGGGCGTGTGGATTTGATCCTCGACTCCTTAGAGAATTTCAAGCCAGAGTGTTTTGGTCTGCCAGCCTTCAACAGTAGTTGATGTAATCCAATTTATAGCTCTGTCATAGGTTTAATAATTGTCTAAATATTTATTAACACTAAAAGATGAAATTGAGAAAGAGATTTGAGAGCATAAATTTGACTTCAGGAAAATGTAATTCTGTATCAGATACAGTTTAGACCTGTCATTTAGCAGAACAAGATGCCTTCCTCAATCAAGGAATAACAAAACACTCTTTCATTGGTTTATTTGTAGATGATAAGTTGAAACCTGTTGTGTATGTACTTAACATTCCTTGATGTATAGAATGCAGTCTCAAATCCCATTTCCCTTTATCATCTCGAAGTACATATTGTTATCTGTAAACCGAGTCGATCGATGATTCTATCAAGGACTTTGCAAGGTCATGCTGTGTTTGTCTCATACACTTTTCAGAGTCATATTATAATTGTCTCATGGACTTTTTAAAGTCCTACTAGGATTGTCTCACAGACTTTGCCAAGCCATGCTGTGATTGTCTCACATACTTTGCCAAGCCATGCTGTGATTGTCTCACATACTTTGCCAAGCCATGCTGTGATTGTCTCACATACTTTGCCAAGCCATGCTGTGATTGTCTCACATACTTTGCCAAGCCATGCTGTGATTGTCTCACAGACTTTGCCAAGCCATGCTGTGATTGTCTCACATACTTTGCCAAGCCATGCTGTGATTGTCTCACAGACTTTGCCAAGCCATGCTGTGATTGTCTCACATACTTTGCCAAGCCATGCTGTGATTGTCTCACATACTTTGCCAAGCCATGCTGTGATTGTCTCACATACTTTGCCAAGCCATGCTGTGATTGTCTCACATACTTTGCCAAGCCATGCTGTGATTGTCTCACATACTTTGCCAAGCCATGCTGTGATTGTCTCACATACTTTGCCAAGCCATGCTGTGATTGTCTCACAGACTTTGCCAAGCCATGCTGTGATTGTCTCACATACTTTGCCAAAGCCATGCTGTGATTGTCTCACAGACTTTGCCAAGCCATGCTGTGATTGTCTCACATACTTTGCCAAGCCATGCTGTGATTGTCTCACATACTTTGCCAAGCCATGCTGTGATTGTCTCACATACTTTGCCAAGCCATGCTGTGATTGTCTCACATACTTTGCCAAGCCATGCTGTGATTGTCTCACATACTTTGCCAAGCCATGCTGTGATTGTCTCACAGACTTTGCCAAGCCATGCTGTGATTGTCTCACATACTTTGCCAAGCCATGCTGTGATTGTCTCACATACTTTGCCAAGCCATGCTGTGATTGTCTCACATACTTTGCCAAGCCATGCTGTGATTGTCTCACATACTTTGCCAAGCCATGCTGTGATTGTCTCACATACTTTGCCAAGCCATGCTGTGATTGTCTCACATACTTTGCCAAGCCATGCTTTGATTGTCTCACATACTTTGCCAAGCCATGCTGTGATTGTCTCATAGACTTTCCAAAGTCATGACAGGATTGTTCTCATAGACTTTCCAAAGTCATGCTAGGATTGTTCATCTAGATGCTATGACTTTCCAAAGTCATGCTAGGATTGTTTTAATCGATGCTATGATCATCTTATTGACTTTCCAGAATCATACTGTGATTGTTTCATAAACTTCCAAAAATCGAACAATAAATGTTTTGTAGATTTTCCATTAATTTTTAAACTCCCAGATTCCTATGTGGGTTGCGGGGCCCCAGTGGGGGAGGGGGGGGGAAGGAACAAGAATAGATCCACTGCCTCCTCAACAAGCATGCCATAGGGGTCAATTAATTGGGGGACTTCTATGAAGTCGGGGTGCATCTGCCTGAGTGGCAAGGAACAACCAACTGCACACAAATACAAAAGCCAGTAAAATGGATGTACACGCTACCTAGATGTAAACCACATACAAGATACCAACCGCCCTTTTAAAGGGAAAACAGAAGAAGAAGAAGAAATCAATCTGGGATTATAATGTTATTCAAAGGGAATCAGTAAAGAAATCTGCAAATAATATTTAGTTAGGTCACAAAAAAGTGGGCACTGAGACTCAAATAGTAACACAGTTCTATCATGTTATTGTTATGTATGCCTTTTGCCATGCTAAGGTGGGGGAATTTGTATTAATGTTTGTAAAAGTATGTTGTATGGTTGTGTGTGCACACCATTATAATCTTTTCTGTTATGATGCATCAGCATATCTATTAGGCAGTGTCTTTCAGTTATATGACGGAACTGGGTCTTCAGTCAATAAATTTGAGATGTTTTAACATCTGGGAAGAAGACGAGGGGAAGACCAAGAAAGAGGTTGATAAATGATGTAGCTTAAATCTGCAAAAAAAAAAAAGATGAACGAATGCATCACCTGAGAAGCGCAAGACAAATACAGGAAACCACAACATTGGACTACAACCTGGTATCAGTGGGATAGCAAAAGAAGAAAAGGAATGTAGTTTGTTTTCCTTTGCAAAAAAAGAGCGCCTATAGTGCATTCACAAATGTCTGAACAGTTTCCTATGATTTTCACCCAAACCGTCTGTTGTATTTTGTGAGAAGTTGTGCATGTAAACTTGATTTCATAAAAGGATTTTTTTTTTCGATTCCTTGTATTTTTGTTTAGATATTTATTCACTCAATACTGTGATACATGTTTAACATTTCTGTAACAGGAATTTGAATTTTTTGTTTTGTTTTAAAGTTTAAATTTATTGCATACCCAAGCCGCATGTTATGGGACACAATAAAAATCATAGCTACCAAAAACCACCTCCTGCTATAAACCTCAGCATTTGCAGGCGACATGTCATATTTTTCGTCCAGATGTCAGTAGGAGCTGGTAAACAACCATCAGTCCACGAGACCATGGAGCTGTGCCACTGCTTGTAGAAAGCGAGCTGCTATGACTGGAAATTCCAACAGGGGAATGGCAGTCTCTGCCACGTAGTCCACATACAAATGTTGATACTCAATTATACTGAGGCTGGTGTTCTCTCAGTTGCCTCCCTTTTATAGCTCGCTGAGCTTGGCCTCTAGCAGACTGTGACCGTCTTGTCTTTCACTGTCTGCCTCCACAGGAGTTTGTCAGGAGCTCAACTGTCCCACATGTCTTTGTCAGTGTTGGCATATTTCAGGTTGCATTTGCATACTTGTTATAGCATACCTTTGGCCTTCTTACAGATATAATTTCTGTTTCCAGTTCATCATACAGTGGGGACTAAGACCCACAAGAAAGCCCCCACTTTCTCCCTCCCCCTTTCTACCCCCCCCCCCCCCCACTCCCCACCCTGTCTCCCTCCTGCCATCTAGAAAACTTATAAGGTTGAGCAGAGGGTTCAGTGCTCCCTACCCATCATGTTTTTTTTTGTCAGTGCCACTGCTCAGAACTACATTTAAAAGTATCACACATTTATAGACTAGCTTTTGACAACAATTATGTAAAGTAATGGCTCGATATGGAGTAATTGAAAACTTCATTGAAGTTTGCAAAAGCTTATATAGAGATTGTAAAAGCATAGTTAGAATAAATCAAGGAACATCAAAACCATTTAGAGTAACATCTGGAGTAAGACAGGGATGTGTCTTTTCACCACTCCTGTTTATCACCTACATTGACAGTATAAGCAAGGATGCCAGTCTTAGGAAAAATAATAATAGTAACATCAACAAATTACTCTTTGCAACATCTCGCATCCATTTATGAAGAATGTAAATCAAATAATGTGAGAATCAACTTAAAAAAGACAGATGCAATGTCAATAGGAAGAAAGAAGCAGAATTTAAAAATAGCATTTGAGCATACATATATTAAAAAAGCATCTGACTTAAAATATCTTGTAACAACATTCACTGAAAATGGGAAATTGGATGAAGAAATTTACATCTGATCCAGTAAAGCAAGCCAAATACTCAGACAGCTCCCCCCCCCCCCCCCTTTTTCAGCACAAAGAAACATCTAATTCAAAGCATATTCATTTCCACCCTATGCTACCAGTGCTAGATGTGGTCAATCACAATAAAATCTAAAAGAAAATTCATAACCATGGAATGAGGTGAGTAAGACTGTAGGATTGACGAGAAGAGATAAAATCAGTAATGAGGTCATGCAAGATAAATCGGCAAAGAACCAAATGTAAATTATTTACAAAGACAGCAAATCAAATGATTTACCTACTTGGAGAGAATGCCTTCTGATGCTATACCATACAAGGCATATAACAAAAGAGGAGAGGGACGAAGAGCAAGAGGTAAACCAAGAATAAGATGGAAAGATAACATCAGAGAAACTCTACTGCACCACGTTGTGTTTATGGTCAAAGCTGCTAAAAGAGCACGAAGCAGGACCTTATATCTCCCTTGACACTAAAGCAGTAAAACAGGATGTAAAGAAGAATAAGACATTTGGTTTCTGAGTAGAATGCAAACAAGATCATGGATTCACAGTGCAATAATAACTAAGGCAGTCCTCCTCAAGACAGATGAAAACTGATTCGTGAACTTAAACACAGTGAGGATTACTTTTACATGCTGTGGAAAAGAATAAGCCACTCAAACTAGTGACAACTGGCAAGTCTCATGTAAAAAGAGCAAGGAGAAGACACAGATATATAGCCGGACAGCTTGTATCAAGTTTTAAGAAAAGGAACATCTCAGTGTATTGTACACACCGAAAAAAGAAACAGGGAGAAAATCACTAAACAGGCACTGCAATTGGAAACAAATGAACTGAGAAAAGGAGGATGTTCAAGAGAAACCCAAAGACAGACAGTTGAGTCAAGGATTGACATCATAGCACTCAAGGCATTCCCATGCATGCTCCGTCCTCATCTTCAGCAGCTAGCGAAGAGTTCCAATACTGATGGTACCGGTCACAATCTGGTTAAATGTCTGTCTTGTCTTTCCTCTTGTGTGTAGTCAGCTGGCCAGACCCTCTGGTTACACCTTGGTGCCTCATTCTCTCCATGCCATAATATTCTTTCTCTTCTGATTCTGTTGTTTGTTCCCAAAGGGCCTTGACCACATCTGCC